AAAATCCTGATTTTCTGGGCCTCATCCTCCGAAAAATTCTGTTTTTTTGTTATGGGGGTGGAGCCACAACATTAGTAACAAAGAAACAGAATTTCCGGAGGATGAGGCCCAGAAATCAGGATTTTGAAAAGATTCCCAGGGTGATTCTAATGTGCAGCCAAGGTTGAGAAACACTGGATTAAATCAAATATTTATATTTAAAAGGTCTCCCATCATATAAATCAATTTACCACTTTATATGGATAGCATGTTAAATTATTATAGCATCTGTTTCTCCCTTCCTCTCTTTGATACTTCTTTCCTATGTCTTGATGGTTTCAATATGCACCCAGATTACCTTTCCAGTACTTTTGGACTCATTGTCACTCAACCTCCTCTCCTGTGACTTTCCTCCACCCTACGTCAGCTACTATCCCATGGCCATAGACCTTGTCATTAGTAATAACCATACCCCCCCCCATCTTCATTTGTATCCTTGTGCCCTGTGCCCACGTCCCTACCCCATCTCTCTAGCAGACTTCTTCTAGCATTGCAATCTCTGCAGAGACCCACAATCCATTGATCCCAGCTTGAGACTATCCGTCACTCCTCCATGCAGCACCTTCCATGGACCATGATTTGAATTCCTCTACTCCCTTGAACTTTTCTCTCATCATCAAACCTGAATGACAAAATCTGAGCCAGATCACCACCTCTCCAGCCACCTCTTGCCCACTCCTGGGCAGATGAAAGTGGAGGGGGGACCACACCCATTTTGTCTGATGACAGGTAAATTTTAAGTTTGGGTAGAAATAAAATAAAATTATCGCTGTAAAAAACAAACAAACCCCACAGTCATTAGAAAGTACTTGTTATAAATATTTAGGCTTAGCTTGGCTGGTGTGGCTCAGTAGTTGAGCGTTGACTCATGTACCAAGAGGTCACGAGTTCGATTCCCAGTCAGGGCACATGCCCAGGTTGCAGGCTTAATCCCCAGTAGGGGGCGTGCAGGGGACAGCGGATGGATGTTGTTTTTCTTATCAATGTTTCTATCTCTCTCTCCCTCTCCCTTCCTCTATTTCTAAAATCAATTAAAAAAAATCAAAAATAATAAAATAAATAAAATATTTAGGCTTAGACAGCCTGGAATAGAAAACAAAGTTGATGTTACCCCCAGATCACTCAACTAGCAGAATAAACAGAGATGTGTGACTACGGAGAAGTGTCTGGAGTTTTGTAAAGAAGACAGGAAATGGGTTTTAGAGCCCAGCACATGCTAACTCCTTTTGCTGCTGTTACTCTGGTCCCTGCCTAGGAACCCAGAGTCAGCGTCAGAGAACATGTCACTCTAAGTGCGGTTACTCCAACAGGATATGTTCAATTGCACAGAAGTGAGACATGCATGACATGGGGTTTCCTTTCTCCGATAACTTCTAGAATAACAGAAAACCAGGGTTTCAAGGGACCATAACAATGACCTAATTCACTGAACCCCAAACCTGGCTATGTACACAGTCACTTGGGAGGTTTCCAAAAGCCACAGGGTCCTAGACTCCAGCCCAGACCCTAACACAGAATACCATGGGTTAGGCCCCCCAGGGAGGCTTATGCCGTCAGCTGGCATTACTCCACTGGTCCCGGATGAGACTCTGAGCACCTCTGCTTTCGTCCAGGCAGCCAAGTTGCTTTACCAATTCAGGGATGCCAACTCTCCGTTTCTGGATTATTTTTTTAAAATAATGCTCTCCAGCCGAAACCGGTTTGGCTCAGTGGATAGAGCGTCAGCCTGCGGACTGAAAGGTCCCAGGTTCGATTCCGGTCAAGGGCATGTACCTGGGTTGCGGGCACATCCCCAGTAGGAGATGTGCAGGAGGCGGCTGATCGATGTTTCTCTCTCATCGATGTTTCTAACTCTCTATCTCTCTCCTTCTCTCTGTAAAAATCATTAAAATATATTAAAAAAAAAAAAATATGGCTCTCCATCTGAATTTACTTTCCAACTTAGGCTCATAAACTATGAAAGTTTCAAAAGTTCTTTACATATATATATATG